CTACTTTGCAAGTGGAGAAGTTAAAGTTCAGAGTTCAACAAATGGCACAACAAGAATTTGGATGGAAATTACTCAACTCCAGTTAATGTTTTCCTACCATTGCTTTGCTATATAAAGTCCGTTGAGCCTTCTGTTAAAGTGCAGATTCCCCAAACCCACCTGTTTTTGTGAATAACCAAAAATATCCATATATTGTCCTGGTTCCACTTTTGTTGTTGTGATATTTGCCCTTACTCTGTCTTCTTGTGAATGTATGGAAACAATTTGGAGCATGATATGTATATATATGTGTGCTTCGGTGCATGTGTATGCATGCATATGTGTGTATGTGCAGTTATCCACCTGTGAATATGCATGTGTACATATGTGCACGTGTGTTCATGAGTGCATTGTGCATGTGGATGTACATGTGATTACAAAAACGTGCATTTGTTCGCAAGTGGAGGTGTGTGTATTTGTGTAAGAACATATACTTGCATATGCATGCTTGTGTTTATGTGTATATGTACATGTGTATGCACGTGCGCATGTGTGGCCATGCTATATTTCACAGACAACAGTTCCTGCTCGGTTGTTATGGGAACCGCAGTTCTAAAAATGTTAAACTGAATCCGACTCCATGTGGGCCACAGAAACTGAGAGAGAGAGAGAGAGAGAGAGAGAGAGAGAGAGAGAGAGAGAAAGCTCATTGACAGACACATCTGGGGTCTCAGAGCTAAGGCAAAGAATCAAGAGTTTAGCAAGAATTGGACAGGTCTGGACTAGCCAGAAGTGTGGTTCCACTCATGGGATCTCACAGTTGGATCAGGGCCTCCATTCTGCTTCTTCCCATCTTTCCTTCCTGATCCTTCCTCCCACTTCTTCTCTTTTCCAGTTTTATATTCCTAGCTACCTTCCTTCCCTCCTTCTCCTTTCCCTTCTCCTTTTGAGGCTTTTTTGGGAAGAGGGGAAGTCAACAAATCAGCACAGTAATTAAGTACTTAAGTGCGCTGGGCAGTAGACTTGGTGAGAAGGGAGTCATAAATGTAGACAAAACAAGATTTCCGCCCTTGAAGGAACTCAAGGATGAGAGTATTTAAATAGTAGATTGGAATAGGAGAGAGGATGAAGAGCAAAGGGAAAAATAATGAAGGTGGTTGGAAGATGAATTTGGATCAGCTATAAAAGGCTTTAACCACAAGGGTTTATGTATTTTTGTAGGAGGCTAGAAGCCTTGGTCAGTTTGGGATAAATCACTATTGTGCCATGAATGGTGTTTCAAGGAACTTTCATCATTAGTGCTGTACAATGTGGAATGGAAGGGGAGAAAATCACAAGCGGTTTTGAATAGTCCAAATTCAAATGGACTTTTCTCAGGCCACAGGGGTCATATGACTTGTCTCAGGCCACAGGGGTTGCTGGGAAAGAGCAGACATTCTGGGTTGCTTTGTCAGACTCTTCCATCTCTCACCTCATCAAGATTCTTATTTCTCCTCCCCATCTCTCCAGTGTGAGTAAAGCCTGTTACTGATGATGTGTGTTGAATTCCTCAGGTGCATTGGAAAGTAAAAGAATTGTAAGCCATTGGCATAGCATACGGTGAACACTCAATAATATTTGTGGAATGAGTGAATATATGGATATGTACTGGTCTTGGAACTGGAAATGTCCAGGTTCAATGTCCACTTTAGTCTTTTATTATCTGTGTGCCCCTAAGAAAATCCCTAAACTTCCTGGGTCTCAGTTTTCTTTTCTATACAGTTAGGGTTTGGCTATCCTTATAAGCTCTTTCCAACCATAATGTTAACATGTGATTCTGTGTGATTGTCATAGTCAAGGTGTGCATGTAGATAGTGGGGTGGTGGTGGCATGGACTGAGATGTTGGCCATAGGCACACAGAGGATAAATGTGAGAAATATTTTAGTAGAAGAATTGGCATCTTTTAGCTAATCCAAAGACTCTCCTGCTACAGAATATGTGAATTCTTTCACAAAATGTAACAGACATTTCCTGAAGTGCTTAGTTGAGCTTGAAAGAAAGAAACTGCACATGGATTTGAGAGCAAGAACTGTAAGTATGAGATGTGTTGAAACCAACCCCAGAAGATTCAAGAAGGAAAGTGTACTACTTGTATGCCCTGGCCTGGGTCCTGGTTGGAGTTGGAGGAGCTGCCTCTGAAAACGTAACAACCTGAGATACAGTTTGAACTCACGTCCCTGCATGGTACAGAAACCACAAGCCAAGAAAGTAGCTAAAGATTAATCATTACCAGGTGACACTCTTGGAGTGCCTGGTAGAAACAAACACAAAACTTTCCAGAGAAACACCTTCAACCTAGACCAAAGAACTGCTGCCCAGGTAAATCCCCACCAAAGATGAGCTCACAAGCTAAAAATTACAATACGTAAAGGAAAACAGTGTTCCATGAATGGGAGAAGACAGGACCCTGAAGAATGTTGATAAGATCCGGCAGATGTAACAATCTGGATATATAAGGGAACAAGGGAGCAAAGATGACTCCCACAGAACTACAGTTACTTGAGTCTAGGGAACCAAACAAATGATTGTCACTATTAACAGGAATTGAGAATATGGATTTGATGTTAGACAGATTGATTATATTTGATATTAGACAGACAGATTATATTTGAAATGGCATGTGACACCAGTATGGAAATGGTCATTAGAACTATAAGGCTGGCTGACTTAGAAGTCATTTAAGTAGAGGTGATGGTTGAAAGATTGTCAATGAATGTGCTCCCCAAGGACAATGCTGAAATAGGAAAGAAGAGGGCTACGAACTGAGTCTGAGCTGGGCACTGGTGGGTGGTGCCTGGAATCCTAGCTATTCAGGAGGCAGAGATAAGAAGGATTGTGGTTTGAAGCCAACTCAGGCAAATAGTTTGTGACCCTATTTTGAAAATACCCAACACAAAGAGGGCTAGCTGAGTGGCTTGCATGGTAGAACACCTGCGTAGCAAGCATAAAGCCCCAAGTTCAAGTTCCAGTATCTAACCCCCCACCAAAAAAAAAAAAAGAAAAAACTTGAGTCTGAGGAAATGCCCACATTCTGAGGACGAGATGAAAAAAGGTGCAAGGAAGGAAAAGAAGCTCTCAGATAGTCCCTGTTTCTGTTTAGGTCCTGGAGGTTGGTTTGATTTTATGATTGATTTTGATTTTCTCCATCTCTGGCCTAATATTCTCTTCCCTCAAAATCCCTAGGGGTACTGGGGATGTGGCTCAAGTGGTAGAGTGCCTACCAAGTGCAAAGCCCTGAGTTCAAACCGCAGTACCTCCAACCCTAGCTCTCCTAGGAGGAGTTCCAGTAAATGGGGAAGCTAGAGGAGCTTCTTGGCTGGGAGTTCAAATACAATCAGGTTGAGTTGTGGTACGTACCAAAACTACTAAGTCACTTCTTTGGAGCTCCATTTTCTCATGAGTAACACTAAGCCTACTCTTAAAGTGTGAGGACAAGATGGGGACAGCACTTGATGGAACCCATCTAAAAGGAGCAAGGATAGTGTTTGGTCATCTACCTCTTTTGTTCAGGTTATGGTGGTTTGGGTGCTGCTTAAAATATGAGCCTTTATGCTCGTTACCCAACTCTGCATGGAAAATGAAGTCCAGTGGTCCATGCCTATAAGTGAAAGGTGTAGTCACTTAAGTAGAAGGATAACGAGGTCATCCTTATCTTAGGTCTCCACAATCTTCCACTTACCTATCACAGTGCCTGGCGATCCATCATTTAAGCCTCTCCAAAGTTTTAAATGGTGCCCCTACAGGCTACTCTTCTAAAATGCTTATTCCCCTAGAAGAGGTACATCAAATTATTTACCACAAATTAGTTCATTAGGTACAAGATACTCAGCCTTGCGAGAGCACTTAAACCTGGAGGGAAAAAAAGAATGGAATTCTCTGTTGGATAATTTTGTCTCTGGCTATTTGGACTGAAGGAGTGGAGGAGCAGAAGCTGGGGTGATCTGGCATCACAGGGCTCTGGGTTTTCCTAATTCAAGAGCAGTTCAGGTCAGAAGGGAAAGAATGGAGTACCCAGACAGCATGGAGGAGGCACTGGGGAGGGGAAACGGGTGGCAGAGCAAGCTTTTAATGCTCAAATGTGGCCATAAAGATAGTAAAAACTTTGGGTAGAGAGTTCAGAGAGTAAAGGGGGGGGAGGCACTTCTCCATTATAGGATCATGCTTTACACACCTCCCCCCTCCTGTCAGCACCCCAAAGCCATGAAGAGTTTACCTGGAAGGAAAGGTTGGGAAGGGCAAATGTAAGACTGGACAGTAGGTGGACAGCTACCTCCAGGAAAAGATCCTTTATGGGAAGAGCAATTAAGGTGACCAGGAGCCTTTGGCAAAGCCCGGTCCTCATTAGATTTAGGTGTGCCCCAACTGAATGCTGAGACCCTTTTGGCCTGACAGCATGGGACTCTTGAGTAGATGCACAGGCCTCTGTGATACCAAACACTGGGTATTCATAAACAGCACTGAAATACTGCAGCTTTTTGTGGCTGTCGCTACTGCCTAGGGCTCCCTCTAGTGCTGAACAGTTTCAAAACAGATCTAAGCTCAGGTGCCTCCATTCTGGGGTTGGAAAAATGAGCACTGGATGGAGTCAGATCTGTTTGACCCTTTGTTTCTAGATGGGTTATCCAGCAAAGTTACCTACATTGCCTCTTCGTCTTTGAAATGAAGTTTATGCTTGCTTCACTTGAGACTGAGACTAAAGAGGAAAACATATACACAATATTAACACCTATGTCTTTTAAACACTATTTAGTTTCAGTAACACCTCTAGCCCTTAGGTTAGCGTGATTAAAAGAATTCATTGGATACATATTTATAGTATGCCTATTATGTGTTCCAGTGCCTGGTAGATGTGCTTGTCAGTACAATGTGTTTTGGCCTGTGAAAGATGAGCATGAGTATCTCCTTTGTCTCTTGGCACATATTGTCCTGGGGGAGGCGTTGGGGGGAAGGGTCAGGAGCTTACATGGCAGATTCAGTAAGCTTTTAGCACAATAATTTTAATTGCAAAAATAAACAGTTTTGTCAACTGCTTGAGAGTAGCGTTTGCTTTACAAAAATTAACAACAACAAAAAGGAAATAACCCCAAAGCAAAACGTTACATCCAATGACAGCTGGAAAGACATTGATGTACAAAGTTCCGCGCGAGACCGGCTCGGCGCAGCCCCAGCTTGTCTCTGGACGGGAATAGAGGATGGCGTGGAGCGTGCGCCAGTTACAAAAGGCTGTCTTCAGTCCCAAGGAAGTGCCTACTCTGTGGGTGGCCCGAGAGAACTTTCCCAAAGCGCGGCTGATGAGAAAGACAGCCCCGGGACAGCAGGAGCTATCCACGGAGCTGGTGCTGAACGGGGCGTGTGCGACGGGCGCTTTAACGGAACTGGAAGCAGGACTGGAGGCCGGCCTCGGGGCGTGCGAGGAAGAGGTGGGAAGAACAGCAGGGGAGGGGAATAGGCCAGATCTTGCGTGCGCCGAGCGGCGGCGCTCCAACTACAAGTCCGGCTCCTGCTCACAGCGCGGGGAAAGAGAGGCCCAGCGAGTAAAAGCCAAGACCCTTGAGCCGCTCTTCCGCACGCGCTTTCTGCTTAAGGTGCACCTTGCTGTGCCGTTTCTTTTCATCGCTGCGCGCGAAGCGGCGGCCGCACACGTCGCAGGCAAAAGGCTTCTCGCCCGTGTGAGTGCGCACGTGCGTGGTGAGGTGGTCGCTGCGGCTAAAGTTGCGGAGGCAGATGCGGCACTGGAAGGGTTTGTGGCCGGTGTGGATGCGCAGGTGGCGATTGAGCTCGTCGGAGCGCGCGAAGCTCCGTACACAGCTCTCTACCGGACAAGCAAAGGCCTTGGCATGCGGCCTCGGGCAAAAGCAACGCGCGCTGCACTTGCCGCCCCGGCGCCCCTTGCGCCGCGCCTTGGCCGGGGGAAAAGGAGTAGCCGGAGGGGGCACGGGTGGCGCAGCCACGTCGCTGCCTCCCGGGATGTCGGCCACCAGAGGTTTTGGGAAGTCCGCGGAGGCGGCGCTGCGAAGGCCCAGCGGGGAAAGCTGAGGCTGCGTACCTGCTAGAAACTCTCCGCCTTCGCCGCTACCCCCTCCCTCCCCACTAGGAGGGGTCAAGAGCCCCGGGAGGCTCTCGGCACCCTCCCCTAGGTCACCCGGGGCCAGCGGGAACGCGTCGTAGGTCCCAGTGGAATAGAGTCTGTTGGTTGGGCCAGCCGACAGCTCCGCGGGACAGCTGATGGACAGCAGGTCCTCAATCTTGGTCCCTACTGAGGGGAAACGAGCCTCGGGGGCAGCCTGGTAGCTTCCTTGTGACCCACAGTTCCCTGGGGCCCCAACAGAAAGCAGCTCCCAGGGAGCATAGGGACCTTTAAAGGCCGAGGCAGCGTCCAGCGCTGGAGAGGCTGGAGGCGCGCGAAGGCCCGGCTTGACGTCGGGCGGGGAGAGCTGAGGCTCGTACAGGCACTGCGAGGGGGCGCCCGCGGTAGGCGAAGCCTCCCAAAATGCCTCTGAGAAGGCGGCCGCGCTCAGATCCGGGGAGTAAAGATCGGGTGGACCCGGCAGCAAGGCCTCGGAGCCCCCAGGAAAAGGGCCATCCAGTGGGGACCGAGATGATGTCGCCTCAGAGCCAGGGAAGGGTGCCAGGCCTAAAATGCCCGACATGAGGTTGAAGAGAGCCTCTGGATCGTGTGGGTGTTCCGGTACTGCCTGAATGAAGAAGCTACCGCTGTAGCTGAGGCCGGGAGGGGGCGTGGGCGCAGGACCCTCCAGGAAGCAGGAGTCGGCTAAATCCCCCCCGGCGCCGCAGCTGCTGAAAGCCCAGCTCAAGAAGTCGCCTGCTGAGAAGGGAGCAGGAATCAGCGCTGGGCACATCAAAGGGGGCGCCTCTGAGTCTGCAGCCCCTACCCACGAAATCCCTGGCGCGCACGGACACATGCAAAGTGCCTATTGCACAATCGGATTAAGCAGGGGCCACCACACGTCCCAGGACGCACACACAAACATGCACACGCAAAACACACGTGCATAGGCAAAAGGACGCCCTGATACACGCACAGGTTCCGGCACAGGCGCCGGCGGCCTAGTGGGGGGGGGGTGGGAATGAGAATGCGCACCCACGACCCACGCGCCTTCCATCACCCCTATCCCCACGGTTCCAGCGTCCCAGCCCCTGCTCGTTTTCAGGCATCGTGCGTTCCCACGCTGCGTCGCCGTCTGAGCACCTCTGGCCGGGCTCCTTACCTCCAGTATAGCCAGTGGCCGAGGGAGCGTCCCTGGCGGGCAGCCGGGGCACTTCAGTGCTGGATTCGGCGCAACAGCCTTCGGTGGACTTGACGAGGAGCGCGTCGGGTCCGGAAAACTCGCTAAGGTGGAGCATGGCGCGGCGGCGACTGCGGGGCGCCCGGGGCCTCGCCCGCTGGGCTTGGGGACGCTCAGGTTGCGGGGAGGCCGGTGGTCGGGGCGCCCTGCGGCGCGCAGACCTGGGCGCCCTAGCTCCAGACTCCCAGCGCTCACCCCTGGGAAATGGGTCAGGGGGCCGCGGCGCTCTCGCTCGCCCGCATTCGCCTCGGGCGGCGGCTGTTCTCCTCTTCAAAGCGCAGCCGGGCTCCCCCAACCCACAGCCCCCCCACTTATATAGCTGCGGCGTCGCTGGCTCCGGGCTTCCGACTCCCCGGGCCACTGCCATTTCGGGAGGCCCCAGCCCTGCCGCCGTGACGTAAATGCCCAAACATGGACACAGGATGTGTGCCGGGGACTCCCGAAAAGGAAAGCTCGGGCTGTGACGTCGCTGCCGCCGCCGCCGGGCCCGCGCCGCTGTGTGCGCGCGCGTTCCCCGAGCGAGGAACCCCGTGCGCGCCGGGGCGGCGGGTGCGCCCAAATGGGGCTGTGCGCCGCGTGGGGTCATCGCCCAGTACGCTCGCTTCCCGCCAAAGGGTGGTGAGGTTGGACCGCTAGGGCTTCGAGATTCCACAGTTGGGAGTTCAAATCCGCCCATTGCCACTTTATACATTTTATTCCTCCCAACTCCAGTTTCCTCATCTGTAAATTTGCTAGGGATAGAAGCTAAGAGCATTAAGTTCCAAGCACACTCAGTAAGCTATAAAGATTATTGCCATTATTTATTTATAGTTTCTGCCCATAACTGTTTTTGCATTTTCGTAAGGTGTGTGTAAAAGTGTTTAAATGAAAAAGACCACAATCCAGTACTTGCTAATGATGGGGCAGGAGAGAGTCAACTTGTACAAAAGAGTATATTCTAGACTATAAAGATCCCTTTTTGTCCCACTCACTTACATTCCTGTCTTCTGAAGTAGCCACATGTATTTTTCTTGGGTATTTTTTTCAGAAAAAAAAATCTAAGCATATAGAAACATGCATACTGTTCTGCAGTATAGTCATTTCACTTAAAATAGCTGAGATTACATCATGTCCCAGCACAAAGACTTAGTTGCTCTTTTCTAAGGCTATATAGCACTCTGTTGTAAGGGAGGACCATGTATTAGTCATTGGTCCCCTATCCATGCACATATAGGTAGTTTTCCACCCTTTGCTTTTACCAGTGTTGTCCTTGACAATATAAATGCAAACACATCTGTGGGATAAATTCCTATAATTTCGGAGCTAAAGGATTTTTTTTTATTTTTAGTGACACTGGGTTTGAACTCAGGGGGCCTTGCACTTGCTAGGCAGGTGTTCTACCACTTGAGTCACCTCCCCAGCCCAATAATTTTTTTTTTTTGTAGTATTGAGGGTTGAACCCAGATCCTTGTGCATGGCAAGTGCTCTACCACTTAACCTATGCCCAGAGCCCTCAAATGATATTTAAATTTTGGATAGACAATTGGCAAATTGTCACAGAGAAGCAGAGCAATTCCTGCTGCCTACTCCCTCACCTGGAGGGGAAGTGGATGCTTCTGTAGATGGTTTTCCTGCCTTCATATAAATGAAAGAACATTGTTCCCAGCAACACACAGAGAATCTACAGGACATATTTCCCTGGAATCAGTACCTGGAATAATCTGGCTTTGTCTGAAAAAAAATTCCTTAAAGGAGGCTGTGATTCTTGGCTGCAAAAGCAGCAGAGTCAACTCTAGCAAAGAAATCTGCCTACCTACTCTCTTGGTCTCTTCTGCTGTGGTTTCTCTTTTACCTCATTTTCTCATTCTATTTTATTTTAGCTCACTTAAGTCCTTTATGGAGCCAATCAAGTGAGGGGATTAAATAGCACATGGAATAGGAAATAACATTTGTTTTAATGAAGAGCTTCAATTCCTGGGACTCTGGGTGCAGGAAGGTGAAGAGAGAGCAGGTCTTGAAATTTTCCTTGAAATGGAACCAAATTCCTTTGGGGTGGTGGGCTACAGTGTGACAGGCAGTTTATCTCCCAGCCTCCTCTCATTTTCAAGAGAGTTACCCAAGAATGCCCATGCTCCTCCAAGGTCTCATTCCTTTCACCTTTTGTGTATTAACAAACATCCATTCATTCAATTTCTTGATGTTCATTCAGTATTTGGAATGAATAAGTGCCTATTTGGGCCAGATGGTAGATTTTAGTTTTTCTTGTACCAGAGTAGCCCATCTTCCTCTTTAGCTACCCAGTTCCCCCACCCCACAGTGACCTGCAAATTTCTATCACACAATCACCTGTAAGACATAAACTGGTATGGTGGGATATGTCTATAATCCCAGCATTAGGGAAGCTGAGGCAGGAAGATTTCAAGTTTGAGGTCAATCTTGGCTACATATGAGAGACCCTGTCTCAAAACACCAAAATAACACAACAGCAATAACAGAATAAACAACCACCTGCAAAACATGTGTTGACACACTTATATGTATAGTCTTAAGCCTGGAAATCATGCAAAGGTTTTTATAGTTCATATACTTGCAGTGTGTTCTAATAAATGGCCACAGATACAGTTCTGTGTTAGAGCATATATATATGTATGTACTTATAAGAAATGCAGAAACTCAGCACTTGTCTGTAAGAATTAGGCACACAGAACATTATTTTCCTAATACTCTGTTTCAGACTCAAGGTTTGATTTTAATCCAAGTGCATTGCCAAGTCCATGTGAGTCCACACCAGACAAGCAGGGCACACATGTCTCAAATTCATTGTGGCATCTTGCTGCCTGGGAGGGTGGAGAAGGGAGGAGTTTGACTGGGCCTGTGTCCAGGGCTCCCCAGGTCACCCCGTCGAGCCAGATTGGCCAGCCCCAGGTTGCCCATCCCTTCTGCTGTTCAGCATTCCTCCTCCTTCTTAGTCATGGATAATTCTCCTAGTCCTGTGGTGAGGTGCCAGGCCATTGCTGCTTTGCCAGGGGCTATTAGGTTAGTCCTGTACTAGGACAAGGGTCCCTAATTTGCTCTTGCTTGAGTTCAGGCCTAGGGGCAGCCAGGTCTAGGAGAGATTTGTGCTCAGTGTAGGGTGACACACCTCCGTCTCTGTACACTCATTTTCAGTGGACACACATAAACATACATAGGATGACTGCCTCTGGAGCACAGTTTGAATCTGCATTTGGTTCCCCAGGGCTTGGAGAGAAGATAATTGGGGTGGGGGTGGGGGATCTGAGCATTCCCTGTCCAGCTTAACCTGTCTTACTTCTAACTTTTAACAGTTTAAAAAGATATTCTGGGCCCAGATGGAATTTGGAAGAGGGTAGAAGAGAGTTGGGCTTAGATTTCTGAGTTCTACTTTAATCACAGTTCAAATATTAAAAACACACTCACACACACACACTTACAAGAGGGAAATCACATGCATTGAGCATTTTACAAACATATATCATTTTTGTCATTACAGAAATCCTTGGAATAAGGAATCACAGATTGATTTCACAAAGAGGAAAGAGACTCAAAAAGGTTAGCCAAATTGCCTAGAGCCACACTTTCTTCTGAGGTGGGGCAGCCAGGTTAGTATACTCCCTAAGATAATTTAGGAAGAAATAATTCATTTTACAGAAGGATTCACTCTGAGATAGCTTTAGATGGAAGATCTTCCTCTAGCTTTTCAAATAAGATGTGTTGGGCAAACACAATCTGGCCAGCGTCCATCCATGCAAGATTTTCTGGAGTGACTGCCGTGGACAGGACCACAGTGGGTCATAGATTCCTTCTGAGGAAGAGGCCACACAAGTGCTTAGGAGCTATTATGGAAGCTGTTGGTGGTAGTGGTGATGATGGTAAGAATGTGTGTGTGTGGCCTTTGGAGAGTGAGAGGGAATTTCCTATTTCCATGAAGACAGGTGAGGGAAGGAGAGTTTACTTTCTAGACACGTACTGAACAAACACTTGCTGAATGAATTAATGAATGAACGAATTCATTCATCAAATGTTCATTGAGCTCAGCCCCATGCCAGGTGCTGCACAGGCTCTTCAGATGTCAGTGATGCTACCATGCCTGGGACTGGAAGCTCTGCATCCAGGGGTGATGGCCCAGAAGGCAGACTGCCTTCTCTCTCCTATGGGAAGGACCCATCCCGTCACAGATCTGGTACTGCTACTGCTCCCTCCCCCACACCCCACCTTGATCTTTCTGCTCTAAATATCATTGTGTTCAAATAATAGTGTATATATTTTAAACGACTCCAAGAAGACAGCTGCCTGGGAGTATTAATCATGAAGAGACCAGTGCTCCGTCTCCATGGCGACTCCTGACAGAGAGCTGAAGAGCAGTTCTGCGTCCCACTTCCTGGGGCCATGGAGATGCAGGGACACTTCATTCCTTATCCTTCTCTTTCCTCTCTACCTCTCCTGTCTTCCTCTCCTTTCTTCTCTCCTACTATCCCCATCCATTCCTTCCTTTTCTTCTTCCTAAAGGATTAAAAAGCAGGGACAGAGGCAGGGTGGGGCCATTAGACTGACAGGGAACAAGGTCAATGAGGCTGCAGCAGAGATGAAGTTAAGCTCCACCTGCAGCCTCTGCAATATCTAGCTTGTCTTTCAAGACCCCTGCAGTGCCCCCCCCCCCCGGCTCCGATGACCACTAGAACAGAAGGAGTCTGATTATTGTCCCTGAGGCAAGAGACCTACTGTCAGGGTCCTTCTCTGTCTCCTCCCTCTTCCTTGCTTTTGGTCAGTCCTTGGTTTATGGTTTGGGTTATTATAATTTGATTGTTGATTCATCCCTTCCCTTACTTCTTCCCTCTCTCCCTTCCTTCCAGTACTGGGAATGGAGCTCAGGGCCTGGCAAATGCTGGGCAAGTGCCCTACCACTAAGCTACATCCCAGCCCTGATTATGATTTCTTTTTTTTTTTTTTTTTTGCAGTACTGGGGTTTGAACTCAGGGCCTACGCCTTGAGCCTCTCTACCAGCCCTTTTTTGTGAGAGGTATTTTCGAGATAGGGTCTCTCCAACTATTTGCCGGGGCTGGCTTTGAACTATAGTCCTCCTGATTTCTGCTTCCTGAGTAGCTAGGATTACAGGTGTGAGCCACCAGCACCAGCACCTGGCTTGATATATAATTTCTACTGTCCACAAAAGTAAAAGGCTCACTAGAAAAATAAAAAACATGTTTTAAATTACAATGCAAAAAAAATGAGAGTACTTTCACAATATATATATAATATATATATATATATATATATATATATATATATATATATATATATCCTTACATAATTTCAGGTTGATTCTAGAGGTTTTTTTCATCCACTCAAAATTCATTTATTCAACAGTTGCATTATCGTTATCATCATTTATACCAATTGTGTAATCTTATGGCTTTTATATTTTCCATCATGACATGAACTG